GTCCCTTTCCATCCAGGGCACTTGCCCTCTGGACTGCCTGGCCACCCTGCTGACCTTTGGGGGAAATGCTGAGATTGGCAGTTGCCCTAAGGATTGGGGTCAGGAAATTGTGAAAGGCCAGCAGGCTTGATGTCATTTTTTTGTGGTCTTGAAATTCTCAGACATTGTTTTTTAGATTGTTTGTGATGCATTTTAATGGTTTTTTTAATATATATATATACAGTGATTTTTAGTTGTGAACTTTATTTGCCACCCAGGGGGAAGGAAGGAAGGAAGGAAGGAAGGAAGGAAGGAAGGAAGGAAGGAAGGAAGAGGAAGGGAGGAAGAGGAAGGGAGGAGGGAGGAAGGAAGGAAGGAAGGAAAGCATTCCTCTTGCAGTTTTCTCTAGAGCTGCACAGTCTTTGTTCTGCATTACGGGGTCTCTGGGTGGGCTGAGATCTGGGAAAGCTGAGTTCATTTTCTCAGAGCCGGGCTTGACACCTGAGGGACTTACGGAGATGTCCAGGAAGTTTTCTTGGGAAAAAGATGAGTGTGATTGGACCCTTCCTTCCTCCGGCCTGCTTTTCCAACCTCTTGCTCCAGCCTTGCAGCCGGGGATTTCCTGGCCATGTCTTCTCCTATTGTGATTCTTATTGTGATTGCTGTTAAATCGGTGCAACAACGCAAAATCTTTCCTAGCCAGAAGTCTATATTAACCCCTCGACCTTCTGAGCCTTTCAAGGGTCCTGCTTGTGGACCTCTAATTGCCAGGATGCGCTGGGCTTCTTTCTGCTTCCTTGAAGGTTCTAGCAAGGGGGCCGGGGGTGTCGTACAGCTGTCCTTTCCCCCTGACCAAAGATCACTGCACCTTTTCAATCTGGGGTGGTCATCATCCTTTTCCTCCACGTTCAGAGCTTTTGGGGGAGATGCATGCAGAGCGATGAGGGCAGAAGGGGGCACCCAGCCAGCCGGCCAGATCAGCGGAATCCACCCGGGTGACCAATGGAGCGACAGAGGAGCCAGATTACTCAGCATTGTTTTGGGAAATCATTTCGGCAGAGATTAACAGCTGATTGCTGACCCAGGGAGTCCTCGACCACTCACTCTGTGGCTTTTTCAGGGTTTGAATCAGCCTCAAAGGGCAAAATTACGACATCTCTGTGAATGCTGCCCTGCTGGCTCTGGTAAAAGGCCACCTCTTGACCCTAAAACGGTCCTGTAAGATCAGCCTCTCTCCCATCGATCGGCTGGAAGAATTATGCTTGGATGAAGGAGTACGTTTGTGGCCAATTTCGAGATCGGGTATAGCTGATGGAGCTTGCCCAAACCCCACCCCTAGTCAAGATTTTCTGAGTCCACCTCCTTGATTTTCTGGTCAATGTGTTTGATGGATTTTGTGCTCTTCAGCACCCAGAGTTCCTTTGCAGACCCATCTATTCAGCTGACTGCAGTCAACGTCATTCCAGTTCTGTCCTTTAGACGATGGGACGATAATTGCGCAGTCTTGGTCTCCGCCTCCAAGGCGCTTCGAGTGGCCGGGCTGACCCTGAGACCAGAACCTTGGAGAGAGAGGAGTGAAGAGGTCCATTTTACATGCCAGGAAGAATAAAGAAGACATGGAGCGACAGCCACCCTGGTGGTGTGACTGTACACAAGGGGCAGGCGGTGCCCATCACTCGGAAACATCTCCCCGTTCTCACGTTGCTGAAACCCCCGTCTTTCATAATATGGTTCTCTCTCTTTCTTCCCCCTTTCCTAACTCAGGGAGTTGAGTTTCAGGGTGTCCACATGGACCAGTAGTAGTACTCTACCGGTTCGGCCTGGTTTGCCCGAACCGGTAGTTCTGACAATCATCTGTGAACGAACCACTTCACTCCGACGATCAGCTGCTGGGTCCTTCCACCCGCCCCCGGCTCTATTCTGACCTTTATTTCCTGCTTTTCAACCTCAGCTGCTTCGTGCGGCACAGCCGATTGCCGCGAGTCAGCGGTTTGACACACAGGGCTTGCAGCAGAAGGTGAGTTGCAAACACTGCGCGCGCTCACGACGAACCAGTAAGACCGTTTTTTGAAACCCACCACTGCTATGGATGCATGCCAAAAAAGGGCACGTGGATGCCATCTTGACTTTTTTCACACACACACACACACACACACACACACTTTCGCAGATGTCTCCAGCAACTGCCCTTGGACAGAATGTCCCTGCATAGCCTTTTTGGGAATGAGATTAGTTCAGATTAGATCCTGCAACGTTATTCTGGGACACATATATTTACTTTCATTTATGAGAACCATCCTTGTTTGTATTATGGTTTTTTTTTGGTTTTTTTTTGTGAAAACCCAAATAAAATTTTCAAAAAAAAAACCTCCACCTGAGCAGTGCAGAGCAAGGGCAGCAAGCATGGATGTTGTCATGGATGGGGAAACCTGTACGTGCGCTAAGCCTACGTGAGGCTCAGAAAGAGAGTTTCTATAGAGATTGTCAGCCACACAGGCGGGAGTGGGATCCAACAGGGTTAACTACCAGTTCGGTCATTTATGAGGTTCAGTGATTTACGATGTGCTTCCCTGCACGCTGCCGGTGTGCGCCTGTAAATCGTCATCAGCATGCTGCGTGCTGAGAAGCAGCCTTTCAAAAAGCCCTTTTTTCCTGCTTTTTAAACTGCAGCTGTGCCTCACACGGCAGCTGAAGTTGAAAAAAAATCAGGAAATAAAGATCAGGTAAGAGCCCAGGTGGGCGGGTGGGCAAAAACATCAGCCGACATGGAACCGGTTCTATGTCTGCTGCTCTTCAGAGCTACCGGTTATACAGAGGTGGACAGAACCGGTAGAAACCCACCCCTGCACCCAGGTCAGGGTTATCCCAAAGGTGCTTTTTTCAAGAAGCTTCTTGGATGAGAAACGAAAAGTCTTCAAAGGAAAACAAGAAACTCCAGTTGCCTCTTGAAAAAGCACCTTTGGGGTTCAAAAGTAGCTTGCCCCATCAATGGGGCAGCGAAGACCTGTGTTGTGTTGCTGGGGTTTCTGAAAGGAAGACCGAAGCATGAGAGAGTCCTGCCCAGGGATGGGATTCAACCGGTGTGACAACTGGTTCGGTGAGAGTGCATTTTGCTGCGCGCGCGTGTGCAGCATTTGCAACAAATCATCAACTGTGCCACCTGGACAGCTGACAAGCGCTCTGCGCAGGTGGGCAGCATTTGAAAATCCTCTTCTCTCCTGCTTTTTCAACCTCAGCTGTGCTGCGCAAAGCAGCTGAGGTTTAAAAAAAAAGGCAGGAAATAAAGGACAGCCAAGAGCCCGGGTGGGCGGGGGGCCCAAACAGATGAACAGAAGATTGTTGGAGCAAACTGGTTTGATGTCAGCTGCTCTTTGGAGCTACCGGTTCTATAGAACCAGGCTGAACCGGTAGCATCCCACCCCTGATGGTAGTATCCCAGCTCCTGATGACCAGTGACAACATCCCCTCTGGGCCCTGGCTTTGGCAGGCTCACTGTGCTATTAATCTGGAGCCATCGGTCCATTCCCACTTTTCTTGTCCTCCGTCGATCAGGCCGATCCATGCAGGCTCGGTGAGCTGCGAAGTCACATAGTTCTGGAAGGGAAAATGAAGTGGTGGTGTCAGGGAAGTCAGGAGCGGTTCCTTGCCCGGGCGCCCTCTGTTTGCAGTTCCAGGGACCCCCTTCGGATCCCCAGGAGAATCTTGATCTATGTATAAAGTCTTGATCTATGTATAAAACACAACTGGTCCAAGGAAGCCCTCAGCCGTGGGAACGATGAAGTGTCCAGGTCCTCCCGTTTTAAGAGGGGGACTCTGGGGGTCCTTTAAGGCCTGAACAATTGGGGGAGGGGGCGTCACCTGCTCTTCGGAGCTTAGGACGGAGGTCAGATGGGCTTCTCTGGACATGCAGAAGTTCTCCGCCTCGTACCAGGTCTTTTTCCCCTGGGATATGTAGTAGAGGCCATTCCCAAAAGGCTGCCACTCCGTCCCAGATTTTTGACTTTTCCTGAAGAGGGAGTCTGCATAAAACGGGGAGGGAGGAGAAGAGAGAAAAATACAAGGCACGGAGTAACCGGGAGGAGGGGGAAGGAACGAAATCTCCCCCTCCCCTGGTAAATCAGATGGTTTCACCCATTAGCTGAAAGGCTCCTTCGGAGGGCAAAGGGGGTGATCTGGAGCGTGCAATGGAGGCTCTAAGGCACCAGAGCAAGGAACGGATGGCAAACCGTCACCCATGTAGAGTCACGGTTTAGGAGTTGGGCCAGCTGCCTGGCTGAGGACCACTTCTCTGGGCAAGATGTGCCACGAGAGCCACTCACAATCTAGTGCCATGGTGGCGTAGTGGCAGAGGCGCGATTCTACCCATTTGGGTGAACCAAAGGTTAAATTTGCATCTGGTTCACCGAACTGGTATTTGAACTGACCGGCTGGCCCTGCCCACCCTGTCCCACCCCTCCCAGCCCATTTTCAATGCAGATTAAGTGCAGGGTCCGCGTGGAGGCTGTGGGAGGGGGGGAAAGTGGGCCTTCCGGAAGTACCAGAAGTTGCAAAACGGTCCTGTTTCCAGCTTCCGGAGGGCCTCCAGAGCCCAGGGGAGGCCGTTTTCACTCTCCCAGAGGCTCAAGGGAAGCCACTGGACCCTTGGGAAGGCGAAAAACGGCCCTGTCGGAAATACCGGGAGTCACAAAATGGACATGTTTCCAGCTTCCGGGGGGCCTCCAGAGCCCAGGGGAGGCTGTTTTCATCCTCCCAGAGTCCCGAGGGAAGCCACTGGACCCTTGGGAAGGTGAAAAACAGCCTACCAGAAATACCAGAAGTTGCAAAATGGGCCTGTTTCTGGCTTCCAGAAGGCCTCCAGAGTCTGGGAGAGGCCGTTTCCACTCTCCCAGAGGCTCAAGGGAAGCCACTGGACCTTTGGGAAGGTGAAAAACGGCCCTATCGGAAGTACCGGGAGTCACAAAACGGGTCTGTTTCCAGCTTCCGGAGGGCATCCAGAGCCCAGGGGAAGCTGTTTTCGCCCTCCCAGAGTCCCGAGGGAAGCCACTGGACCCTTGGGAAAGCAAAAAAAAATGGCCCTCCCGGAAGTTTCGGTAGGCCACACCCAGCATGTCCATGCCCACCCAGACACTGGGTAGCGAACCGGTTGCTGGGGTTTTAGAATCCCACCCCTGCGCAGTGGTGAGAATGCAGCGTTGCAGACTCACTCTGCATTCCACTGCCAGCAGTTTGATTCTCACCGGCTCAAATTTGACTCAGTTTTCTATCCTTCCCAGGTCGGTCAAATGAGGACCCAGATTGTGTGGGGGGACGGACACAAGATACTGACTTTGTAAACCTCTTAGAGAGGGCTGGAAAGCACTGTGAAGTGTTACATAAGTGCTATTGATATCTATGGTTTCACTTTTGTCTTTTTGGGAGAAAGCAGGTTACAGAAAGTGTACAGACTACAACAGAAAATGACCGGTGTGGAACTGATTATTATTTTTTGTCATTTTTTGTTAAATTATATACAGAGATACAATGGAATAAATGGGGAGGGGAGGAAACAATAAGAAGTATATTAACTATGTTTAAGAAACTTATAGAATATGGTTGAAATGAATTACGAGGATTCTTGTAATGAGATTAATATCAGTTCTTGTGATGAATTGATTAATTTTTCTTTTTGTAATTATAAATATTCCTATGTAATTGAAGAGGAAAGCACTATGCGGAATCTGACCTAAAAGGTATATATGTTATGTAGTTGCTAGGAGATTATTATTATTAATTTTTAGGCGATAATTAAAAGTTAAATGATTATTGGGATTAAAAGGGGAGTTAATTAAATAATATATAAGCTATAGGGATGGCACACTCAAATTAGTAATTATGGGGGAAACTTTTTTTTGAAATGTTTGAATTGAAATAGAATTTGTGAAATGATGAAATAAGAATATGCGACGAAATTGCAAACCTGACAGATAAAAGTATAAAAGTACAATGGATGTGAAGATATGAGAGTTATTCAAAGTTTAAGGAAATAGGTTAAGGAATGTATTGAAAAATGTATAGAATAAGCTGGAGGAAAGTATTTGAGAAAAATAATAGAAAATATGTCAAGTGATGGTAAGATACGAAATTAAATGTGAAAGGTGAGTATGTAATTATGGTCATTTTTGTATAGAAGTGTGGAAACCTGGAATCATGCTGTTCACTAAAAAGAGATGTTTTTAAAATGTGGAAAACTGAAATATCTTATATATATTAAAAGAAAAAAAGAAAAAGAAAAAGAAAGTGACCGGTGTTACCCTCAACTTATGACCTCAATTGAGCCCAACATTTCTGTCACTCTGTGAGATATCTGTTAAGGGAGTTTTGCCCCATTTTATGACCTTCCTCGCTACAATGGTTAAGTGAATCTCTGCAGTTGCTAAGTTAGCCACAGGATTGTTGAGTGAATTCAGCTTCCCCTGCTTGTCAGAAGGTCACAAAAGGGGATCACGTGATCCCCAGGGCACTATGCTGCAACCGTCGTAAATACGAGTCAGTTCCCAAGTGCTCAAATATTGATCATGTGACCAAGGGGATGCTGCAATGTTTGCGAGCGTGAAAAAAAGTCATAAGTCACTTTTTTAAAGGCTTGGGAGGACCCAGGGTAGGATACAAAAGCAACAAAGTCACAAAAACAGGTGAAGCCCCTTTAATTCCTTCAGCTTGGCTTCAAAGGTCCAATTATCATTGACTGGAGAAAAAATTCCCCCACAAACAGTTGAGAAAAGGAAGAAATTCAATTCAAACTCAAAATACATATAACTTATAAATAGAAAAAACAACACAAACCAAACGTCAACACAAACGTCCACAGATATCGAAATACACACGCTGGGAAGGACACCAGAACTCAGATAAGAACTGAAAGATTAGAATTATTTCACGCTTTGTTTCCAGCACTGGCCATGCGCAGTTTGTCCTTTTAAACAGTCCTCACAGCTGCAGCCCATGAAGGGAATCAGGACCCTTTCCTCCTCCGTAGACTACGCCATTCACATTTCTCCCTTATCTACTCCTCCCTGTATGCCCTAGGATGAAGAGGGGATGGGCCTGGGTCTTTCTCTGAATGCCCAGCTGGCCTTGCCCTTCCCCAGTTTCCTCCACACCCTCCGGAGCCACACTCCCACTCCCTGTCAGCTGTTCCTCCTCTCCCTCGGAGTCAGATTCTAAAAGGGGCATGACAAGGCTGTTATAGGTTTAAATGGTCACTAAACAAACTGTCATAAGTCAAGGACTAGCTGCACTTGTCCCAAGGAAAGAAAGAAAAAATGAACTGTCGCATAGAGGCTCTCATAGAAACCATTTTTGTTCTTTTGACCACAATAAAAGTTAGGGAGAAGTCTTTGCCGCCAGCTCCCCCTTTATATATCGGGGGAGATAATGTCAACTCATAAAGCATTTCTATGCCGGTTTTAGAGTTGCCATGAACTGGTGAGGGGAGAAATTTGAAGGAGCAGTGCGGCAGTTTAAAACCAAAAGTGCATTCCATTCTTATCTTGCAAAGATTGTAACTAAGCTACCGGAATTTCTGCCACAGAAATTCCTAATTGGAGAATGTGATTGATGACTCTCAGCTATGAATGTGTTTCATTGGAGAATATGAATTATGATACACCCAGAGGGGTGGGGGGAAAGCATGTATTTCGTGTCTCAGAATCGGCTTCATACAGGTCATGCCGACATGTTCGCTCCTAATAAATCCTTTGAAGTTTTTGAAGTTTGGCTCGAGGCTCATGATTTAATTATGACAACTTCTGGAATCCTGACAGCAAACCGACAGCAAGCCGATTATAGGAGGAAAATGTATTTTTTTTCTGCAATTACATGATTATAAAAACAGAGACCTTGTCGTGCCCCTGGTGGAAACTGACTCTGAAGGAGAGGAGGAACAGCCGACAGGGAATGGAAGTGTGGCTCTGGAGGTTGGGGAGGAGGCTGGGGAAGGGCAGAGGCCAACTGGGCAGTCAGAGGAAGAACCAGGCCCATCTCCTCTCCATCCTAGGGCATGCAGGGAGGAGAGGATAAAGGAGATACGTGGTCTACTGGGGAGGAGAGGGCCTTGATCCTCTTCATGGGCTGCAGCTGTGACAACTGGATAAGAGGACAGACATGCCTACAGGCCAGTGCTGGAAACAAAGCACGGAAATATATCTAGTTTATTGTTCCTCTCTGAGTTTGGTGTCCTTCCCAGCATATGTTCTGATATCTATGGACATCTTCAAGCCCTTATTTTGCCTGGTTTGTGTTGTTTTTTACTCTTTAGAATTTATAGGCATTTTTAGTTTAAACAGCATTTCCTCCTTCTTGTAACTGTTTGTGTGGGAGTTTTTTTGTCTCCAGTCAAGGATATTTGGAGCTTGGAAGCAAAGTGAAGGAATAAAAGGGGCTTTACCTGTTTTTTGTGACTACATTTATTTTGTATCCCACCCTGGGTCATCACCGAGTTCCTTGGCTCATGTGTTCCCTGCTTAATCCCAAGCATACACCATATTTAAGTCTATTCAAGACATTCCTTAAGTTCAATACAAATCCAGTTAGTCATTGCTAAGTTCAAATCCAGTTAGTCATTGCTGGTCATCCATATTTGGAAATATTGCAACTTACTGTACTTTTTTTTCTGGTCATTGAAAGTCTTTCCAGAGTCTTTTATGTGGTCTGGTAGCCTCACCGCTTCCTCTGCGACCTTCAGGGCTAAACGGCCATTAGAGAAGTTTATTCATTGTCCACACATTCTTCCCTTGGTGTTTTTATTCCATCTTTCTGCCCCCCCCCCAAAAAAATGCCATTTCCAAACCTGTGAATGCTTTTTACATAAATAATATTGAGATGAATGTATTTTATTTTATTTTATTTTTTTCTTTATGTACACTGAGAGCTTATGCACCAAAGACAAATTTCTTGTGTGTCCAATCATACTTGGCCAATAAAGAATTCTATTCTGTTCTATAACCTCCTGCCCAATTGTCACAAACCACCCCTATAAAGCTAAGAGGTCTTTTAAAAAGACAAAAGAAAAGAAACAGAAAGAGAGAATAGGTTGTTTTTGGCAAAATGCTAAATAGCAACAGAGCAGAAGTGAAACCTTCTCTCTTGGATGACAATGGCACACAGTGTAGACACCCTGACAATTTACAGAGACAACCTAAACTGCCCGGGGCTATCAGATTTCAGGCAAGCAGGGCAAGTCAGCTGAAATCCGTGTGTTGCAGAGCGGAGAAATCTGGCCCTTCAGATCTACGGCCTGATCTACACATTCCCGGCCTTCCACTCCATCCTTTGGAGTCAGTGGACACTTGGCACTGCACCAGAGGTGGGTATCCAGCCGGTTCTGGCCAGTTCTGGAGAACCGGTAGTGGAAATTTTGAGTTGTTCGGAGAACCGACAAATCCCACCTGTGACTGGCCCCGCCCACTCTATTCTCTGCCTCCCATTGAGTCCCAGCTGATCGGCTGGGTCTCCGTTGGTTGCCCTGCATAGGAGAACAGAGTTGGAAAGCAGGTTAGTGGGTTGGGGAGGGAATGGAGATTTTGCAGTATCCTTCCACTGCCATGCTAACCAAGCCACGCCCACCCAACCAGTAGTAAAAAAAAAGTTTGAATCCCACCACTCACTGCACAGAAGTGGAGATGGTATCCCACTCCCCATTCAAACTGGGAATTCAGAGAATTCCTGCCTCTCTCCCATTCTATGCCTGAACTTGCTTAACGATGGCCGTGTTCGGTTAGGTGTTACCACTGGGCGTGACTGGTTGAAGAGCAACGATGCTTCCTTCAATGACCAACCCTTGAATTCCTTGGTGGGAGCTGCCTGCTGAGAATCACCCTAAACCAGGGGTGGGGGTGGTCTTCAACTGGTTGTGCCATGGATCCCCTTCTAGGGACCCCTTCTCAAAAAAAAATGTGTTTCAAGGCATAACACCACATTTTTATCCATGGCAAGAATTGGTTTTGTGTCAAGGGAAGGGATCAAGATGGCCCCACAGATATTTGGGGTGGGTGAAATAGAAGGAAACGTCATTTCAGCTTATCACAGCATATCCTCAGGAACCTGTGGCGCTTTGAGGCTACTAGTGTTGAGAACACCAAAGAAAGAGGAGTTTTTAGCTCAGAAAGAGGGAGAACAGGTAGATTAGATAAGAGATAGAGGTTATAGAGGTAGGTAGGTAGGTAGGAATAGATAGATAGATAGATAGATAGATAGATAGATAGATAGATAGATAGATAGATAATAGATAGATGATAGATAGATAGATAGATAGATAGATAGATAGATAGATAGATAGATAGATAGATAGATAAATAGATAGATAGATGATAGATAAAAAGAGAGAGAGGTAGAAGTCTCCTGGGTCTGCCACAGCCTCCTCTGATGCTTTGAAATGGGAGGGGAAGGGCTGCTTCTCAACAGTCAGAAATAAGCCACTTACCGTCTTCATGTTTGATCGTCGGACTTCTCAGGCCAACTGCTATGGTGACCCCCAGCTTCTTCATTGATTCCTCGAGTGGATGGGGGGGTTTGTTGACCAAGGCTGCATCTGAGGAGGTTGAAAAAGCAGAGATGGTGGGGTTTCCAGTTGCCCCGATTCAACCTCTCAGCTAGTAACCCTAAATAAACATCGACGTGACAGCCCCATCCATGGGACCCCTGAAACACACACGCCCGTGCTCTCCCTGGGGACAGCTGGGGGAGTTTTAACGTTGTGGCCTGTCAGCCGCTGCCCCCTCCAGTAGCTGAATCAGAGGAGGAGGAGGCATGGGAGTCTGGGTCAGCATCAGAGCAACCTGGGAGCTCCAAAGGGGCTGGTAGAGAGAGAGAGAGAGAGAGGGGCAGAGGCAGAGCCTGGCCCATCCATCAGCCCTCAGATGGAGAGTCAACAGCCTCCAGGTCTAGAGGTGGCTGATGAGGAAGTGAAGGAACAGCTGGGTCCAGTGCCTGATGCACGGATGCACAGAAGGCAGAGGAGAGGAGAGCAGTGGAAATCTATGGGCTGATCCTTGGGATGGAAGAGCCAATGCTGCTAGCAAAGCCCTACCCTAGCTCTGGGAATAAAAGGCAGGGGGCAGATATGAATAGGTGTGGCAGACATCTGCCATATTCATCTCCCTGCCGGATAGCCTTGTTAGCCTGCGTTGAGAGAGAAAGTTTTTGCCAGGGCTGCCGGTATTCCAAGTAAATGAATCTTTTGAGTTCACGTCAGAGGGTTTGTCGTGTTTGGGGAGCTGGGTGAGAACATTTAGAGGGAAAGTTGTGCAGAGAGCCAAGTTGTTGAGGTATATGATCTAATAACTGCCAGCTGCTGTAAGGCTGATGCAATGTAAGGCTGATGCAATTGAGGATGAATCAGCATAGCATGGGTATTTCTCTTTTAAGATAAAGAATGAGTCCACAGAAGTTTATATATAATGCAGCCATTATAGCTTGTGTTCTCTTTCCTGGTGTCCGGTATTCATAGCAGAGGTCTCCGTGTAGAGTTAAGAAGAAGATTGATTGCTTGTAAGGTATTTTGCCTACCACGTATATGTCTGTATATAACAAACCACTGTTAAATATCTAAGTTTCTGTGTGCTGTGTTTTGCTCCTGTCTCACAATAGCAGTCATGCTGCAAATGCTCTGACACAAGTTCTGCACTTTGGAGAGAGCTTTGGATGGGAAAAGCAAAGGGTTTGGGACAGAAAGAGGGGAGCAGCACACGACCCTCCAAGGCCTGCGTTATTCTAGCTCTGGTCACTCAGGAAAAAAACAAATCTTCATGAAAAGAAGGGCAAGAGCAAAAATGCACTTCTGGGAAGTCCCATAGCTGGGAAGGGCCTTGGAGGCCCCTAAAATATCTAAGGAAGTTGAAATGTTGAATGGGACACAAAGGGAACGTCATTCAGAGCAAGCCTGGAGAATAATCCTGTAAGTCAACACAACGTGGTCAGTGCAATGACCAAAAAACACCTGTTATTTTCTGTGTTTTGGTTAACATTCTGGCTCTGACCTTTTCTGCTGCACCAGAGAAAGATTTGGCTAGTGCACAACAGCTCCTTGCCTTCAACGGCTTCTCGTGAACCTTGTCCCTTGAGATGTGGGAAGCCAGCAAAATCTATGGGGATATCTGGACGGATATGACTGCAAGGGGATCTGAAATCAAGCCGACCACAAGATTGGAGCCTTGGTTCAGATAACAGATAATCAGAGTTGGAAGGGACCTTGTGGGTCATCTAGTCCAACCTCCTGCCCAAGCAGGAGACCCCACACCATTTCTGACAGATGGGAATCCAGTCTCTTCCTGAAAGTCTCAAGTGATGGTGCTCCCACAACTTCCGAGGGCAACTTCTGTTCCATGGGTTGATTGTTCTCACTGTCAGAAAGTTTCCCCTTGTTTCCAGGTTAAATCTCTCCTTGTTCAGTTTCCATCCATTATTCCTTGTCTGGCCTTCAGGTGCTTTAGAAAATAGCTTGACCCCTTCCTCCTCTCTGTGGCAGCTCCTCAAATATTGGAAGACTGCTGTCATGTCTCCCCTGGTCCTTCTCTTCCCTAGACTAGCCATGCCCAGTTCCTGTAATCGTTCTTCATATGTTTTAGCCTCCAGTCCCCTAATCATCCTGGTTGCTCTTCTCTGTACTTTTTCTAGAGTCTCAACATCTTTTTTATAGTGTGGTGACCAAAACTAGATGCAGTACTCTAGGTGTGGTCTTACTAAGGCTTTATAGAATGGTATTAGTACCTCACTTGATCTTGATTGTATCCCTCTGTTAATGCAGCTTAGGATTGCATTAGCTTTTTTGGCTGCCACTGCACATGGCTGAGTCGTATTTAGCTGGTTGTCCACTAAGACTCCAAGATCCCTCTCCCAGTTCCTGCTATTAAGCCACGTTTCACCCAGTCTATATGTATGTTTTTGGTTTTTCTTGCCTAAGTGTAGGACTACTTTTCTCTACACTGAATCCTGGATAGAGGCCAATATGAGATCCATCTGGATCTTGAGCCTATCTTCTTGGGTGTTAGCTATTCCTGCCAGCTTAGTATCATCTGCAAATTTGATGAGTTCCCCTTCTATTCCCTCATCTAAGTTGTTAATGAAGATATTGAAGAGTACTGGGCCTAAGACGGAACCTTGTGGCACCCCACTGCTTACTTCCCTCCATTTAGACTTAGACCCACTAAGGACTACTTGTTGAGTACGGTTTGTCAGCCAGTTGAGAGTCCATCTAGTGGTGGTGATTCTATCTATCCCACTTTTTTCTAGCTTACCAAGAAGTAAGTTGTGGTTTACTTTGATGAATGCCTTGCTGAAATCTAAGTATATTATGCTCCCCTTTGCAAGTTTGGTGAGTGAAGAGTTGACCCCTGGCCATTTGCTCCCCTTTCCTCTTGGTGTTGGGGGATGGGTGGGTCTCATCCAGTGACCGAACATGGAAGGATGGTGTCATCTCAATGGTCAGACACAAGTCACATCTCTGGAGACCTTGGGTTGCTTGGCGTTGAGAGAAACCATGTTGGACAAAGGAGGGGGCAGCCCCCCATCCACCCTCCCAATTTTCTGGCCATGTGTCCCATAAACCATGCATGAAACAGGTGTGGGTGGAGCCCCTCCCACTTTCAACCAGCCTGTGGCCAGCAAAAGGCAGAAGGACACGTCCGTGGGCCAAGCAGGACTTACATAGGTAGCTCACCGTCATCAGGACCACAAGGCAGATGGTGGCCAAGGTGGCGAGAAGAATCCACAGGACGGTGGAGGAAACTTGGCTGAAGGGATTCATCTGGGTTCTCTTCTCACCTCCAGGAGCCATGATGGAAACTTGGCTTTTGACCGGCCTGGGTCCCATGGCTTCAGAGCAGGAAGCAGAGAGGGGAGAACAGCTGTGAAGAGACCCACCTGCCCCCATCGCCCAGAGCGAAAGCCGCAGCCAGCCCGAGGAATATTTCACCCCTGTGTGCGTTGGACGGCCATGTACATTTGTTTAATTAAAAGAAAGAGTAACTGAGAGTCAGGCTCGTCCTGCATTTGGTCCTCTGCAGGCAGGAGGACTGGGGGGCGTTGGGGGATGTTGGTGCAGCAACACCTCCAAAACCAGGGGTGGGCTTCAAATTTTTTAGCAAGGGGCTCTCTGCCCTAATGACTGGTGGGTGGTCATGTGACTGGGTGGGCATGGCTAGGTGGTCATGTGATTGGGTGGTGTAGGTGGGTGGTCATGTGACTGGGGGTGCGGCCAACTCGACGTTGCTTCTTTGCCCTAATTACCTCAAAAAAGATAATATACCAAAAAGTTGTTTATTATTTTGTGCATTTAATACTTAAGTCAAAGACTGGATGAAACCAGTTTTTAATAGCAGTGATTGTGAGAGGGATCTTGGAGTCTTAGTGGAGTTTCTGGTGAGTTACGTGATTCTTATTATTTGGGAATTAATCCCTGCGGAGGCTGGTGCCTATGTTATCTGATTTTTCTCAATGGCTCTCCCTTTCAAGTGCTGAGTGGATTGTTTATCTAGCTTGCAACACTTGTACGAGATGTGAAATGCTCTTGGCTGAACACCCAGAAGTTCAATTGAGCCTATTAAGAGCTTTCCCTTGCTGCTTGTCTTTCTGAGATTACTGGGGGCTCTCTGAGCCCCACAGAGTCTTAGCTAGGGGCTCTCCTGAGCCCACGAGAGCCCCCAGCAGCCCACCCCTGTCCAAAATAATGCAAACACAAACTTTTGAGACAGAGGTGGTATTCAGCAGGTTCTGACCAGTTCTGGAGAACTGGTAGCGAAAATTTTGAGTAGTTTGGAAAATTGGCAAATACCCCCTCTGATTGGAGATTTTACAGCATCCTTCCCCTGCCACGCCCACCAAGCCACACCCACAGAACCGGTAGTAAAAAATTTGAATCCCACCACTGCTTTGAGATCTTCAGGGTTGTTATAACTCTTTGGGAATGTTTAAGAAATGTCTTTTAACTTCTGAAAAGAGAGATCCCACAACACCCTGGGATCAACATCAGAGAGGAGTCTGGGAATGGCAAGGTGGTGGGGAGAGGGCTACGGAGATCATCTAGTCCAATGCTCTGCTTAATCCAGGAGTCCCCTCCTCTGTTTCCCTGACAGATGGCCGTCCATAACATACCTTTTGTTTGGAGCTCCCTTTAAGAGGCTCTGGATGCCATACAAGGGGTTCCCTAGCTCACCCTCTGAGCCTGTTTTCAACTCCTACAAGCTTCCTCCTTGGTGTTCCTCCTTGCCTTCTGGTTCCACTTTAAGGGCCTCTCTTCCTTTCCTCATCCTCCAAGGCTCAAACCGCCTGCTAGTCGGCTGCTGGGGGCCCCTCGCCAGATTCACAGCCGCCAGCACACCTGCAGCTGGAAGGGAAAGTGGCATTGTGACATCACGGGGGCCATTCCCTGAGAAATGGAGCCCACCGCTTTGCTCATGGCTCCTCTGGCACAGGCGAAGGCGCCTCTTGTCAGGTGCAAGTAACCCGATCACATGTGACAGGATCCAGCTGATCTCTTTATGGTGTCCCACCTACAGTACAGGAATCGCCCCAGAGAATCTGCCTTCCATTGGGAACAAACAGACTAGTTTCCATGGCACCTTGGGATGGTCAGACTGAAGTCTCTTGTGACTACGCAAGGACTCTAGGCTAGTTCTCCACTTGATTCCGCTCTCCTTGCCTGGCTGGATGTTTCCCAACAAGGTCAACAGAACCTCTCTTTGGTCTCCATTGCCCCTAGAAGCAGTCAGAACTAGTGGGAATCTGAATTAGCTCTGGCAAGGAGGGCTGCCTTTTTCTTACTGAAGGCCAGGGTCACTTCCCCAAATCTGGTGCTGTGTGGATAGATGCATTTTACAGCATTCTCAAACATGTCAGTTGGGAAAAGGGGGCTGAGCCCCCTCCCCAGGAGACGCCTTCGCAAAATAGGGACAGAGTCCATCAATAGACAACATCATCCTATCACCAGACTACAAACCAACTCAGAATTCAAATCAACTGCACAGCCAACCAGCAATGGCACTGACCCTCAACCAACACACTCCCCACTTCCCCAACCAGCTCTTCCCCTCCCAATAACCCTTACCTGGCATGGCTCTCCATCACAAGACCCATCTCAAGACCCCCACCTGACATGGCCCTCCCATCACAAGACTGACCACACGAAGCCCTTATAAGCACAACCACAACATCACTCACATCCCCTAAACTAGGGGGTCTGCAACCTTAAACACTCAAAAGAGACATTTGGACCCATTTCCCACTGAAAAGAAAACCCCGGGAGCCAATAATTTAACAGCCGGTGTGACTCGGTGGGCGTGGCCAATTCAACATCACTCACTCCCACCCAGTCACCTCCTGCTCTGGAATATGGAGCGTGGGAGGGGAGGAGAGGGACCAGCCAGTGATGGGATCAGCCGACAGGGAGCTGCAGCAGAGGGCCGAAAGAGCCGCATGCAGCTCCAGAGCCGCAGGTTGCAGAGCCCTGCCCTAAACGCTGCTGAAGATGTTACGTAGTCTGGTAATGAAATGTACAGAAATGAATCCACAACCTTCACCCTTGTACAGTGCCTAACCCACAAAGGGCGTCCTTCCCTTATCCGATTCACCAAATAAGCCATTTGCAGCTGGGACTGGTAGTTTATACAAGCACAGACACTGGCTGGGTCGCTGCTGATGCTCTTTAAGACGTGGGCCCAATGGGGTGAGTTTCTCTACTGGAGGTAGTTTAATTAGAATTCAATGCCACCTTTCCTGCCCCACCCCCACACCACCCCGGTCCTCCCCTGTGTGTCCAGCTCCTTTCTTTCCCATCTTGTCTCCTTGATTTTGTTCAACCGTTTTATTTGCTGTGTTTTTATAATGGATGATTTTAAGTGGTTTTATACTGTAAGCTGCTGAGAGTAGTTGGATATGACATGGGTGGCAAATAAAATTTAGGTGGGTAGGTAGGTGGGTAGGTAGGAAGGAAGGAAGGAAAGGAAAGGAAAGGAAAGGAAAGGAAAGGGAGGGAGGGAGGGAGGGAGGGAGGGAAGGGAAGGGAAGGGAAGAAAAAAGAAAGGGGGAGGGAGGGAGGGAGGATAGGTTAAATATCAGAATTTAAGCCTCAGCTAGGGAGGAGATAAAGGCAGTGTCAGGTGAGCTTTTGGGCTGCTCCACAAATGGGGATACAGCTAACAGGTCCCTTCCCTATTCCACACCTCCCAGGAAGAATTAAAACAACCAGAAAATGCTATTTCCTCTATAGTTGTAAAATCCGTTGCCTCCTTTAGGTACCACTCATCAATGGTAAATGATTGACCACTTGCCTTAACCATCAAGGCTAATGTAATTGGCCAGGAAGAATAAAGGTGGAATGCCCCTCACCCAGGGGTGGGATTCAAATTTTTAACAACCAGTTCTGTGGGCGGGGCTTAGTTGGTGGGCGTGGCTTGGTGGTCATGTGACTGGGTGGATGTGGCTTGGTGGTCATGTGACTGGCTGGGTGTGGCCAACTCAATATCACTCACATTGAGGCACGCATCTCCTCGCCTGGCCTCTCATGACTGTGGGGAATGCTGCAACAGTCGTAAGTGTGAAAAACGGTCATAAGTCACTTTTTTCAGTGCCATTGTAACTTTGAATGGTCACTCCACACAAGCAAAGTACCAGCAAAGGAGGGGGAAAAAACTCCAGAGAAGTTCCTGAGACAGGAAGTCTAGTCCTGCCAAGAATGTAATAAGGGTTAATGGAAAGGCAGTTTCTGTAAGCAACACCAGAATGTTTCCTTCCTGCCTTCCTTACAGGATTAGGCCAGGAATTTATTCTAACAACCAGTTCTAGTGAATAGGTGCGAACTGGTAGAATCCCACCCCTGCCCTCACCCTTTCCTAAACCCTTTCACCTTCTCTTGTTCTACAAAAGAATGGAGCCAGTTGTGGCATTGGTTTAGGCCAGGGGTCCCCAGGCCACAGGCCATTCCTGAACCCGTCGCCTGTTCAGAACCAGGCCACGCAAGCGGCAGACTTTTTGTTCCCTGCACCACCACCAAACAGAATCCCATGTGGGCCTTCAGAAATACTTCGTTTCCTGCTTGGTATGGCTCTTCCAGAGGTCCTCCAGGTGTTTCCCACACCTGATGTCTCAGCCACTTATTGTCCTCAGCTGTCCTGAGGGGTTGGCTGACTCAGTGAAAGGAAAGAGGCTGTCTACTGTGTAATCTACTTTCTCTCTAAAACATGAACTTAATTGGCATTGATGGGCAGGTTTATCACCTTGGGTGCCCTGGAACCTAGAAGGAAGGGAAGCCAGCTGGTGGCATGTCCTCCACCCCCCCTGTGCCAGCCAGGTTGCACTTTCTCTCTAGACAGTGGTTCACCTTCTGCCAAGGCCACCTCCCGTTCTCTCTGCCATTCTCTCCTGTCTGTCTTTTCATCACCTATCACTAGGTTCCAATAGGAGCAGCAGTCCAGAGTCTGAATGCCAACTCTAAAAACCATGAGATGAAGCATCTTTGGGTCTCTTCCCCTTTTCTTGCTGAAGGAATAGCACCAAAGGATTGTGTAAACCAGTGATGGCTAACCTTTTGGGGCTCCTGTGCCAAAAATTGTGCTTGCGCGCTCTTGTGCCAGCACCCATAAAGCAATGCGCATTTCTGTGCATGTGTGTGCGATTCCTCCGTGCGCACTGCACATCTTTGCGCATGTGCACATGTCTCCCACGCCCCCCCCCCACATGCACGCCAGATACTGACAATCAGCTAGCGGGTGGGCGATGCAGGCGTATGCGCATTGGGGCTCTTCCGGGAGACCTCTCATGTGCAGGCAGAAGTGGCTCTGCGTGCCACTTCCAGTATGCGTGCCATAGGTTCACCATCATAAGTGTAGACACTGGCATGCTTCGCAGAATGGGAAATGCTCCAGTATGTACTGCAGGGGTCCCCAACCACCGGGCTCCAGACCGGTCCCGGTCCGTGGAACATTTTTTACCGGGCCGCCAATTTGCTGGGCGCCGCCATCTTGTTTTGATGAGAAAATGCTTCCGGTGAGCTTTTCCGGTTGGAAAGCGGCGTTTGGGTCCTGAAGGAATCCTCGCGCCTTAGTTTCATCGAAGGGGGGGGCGGCTTCGAACAAAACTAAGGCGCAAGGATTCTTTCAGCACCCAAGGCAAGGCGAGCCGAGCGACCGTCCCGAGGCCGTCCTGAAGCCCATCGACACAGGTACAAAGGAGGAGTTGGAGGTGGCGGGGAGAAGCGGGGGACGGCTGGCTGGCCGGTCACTCGGCTCGCCTTGCCATGCGTGCTGATGCCGGTACCGGGCCGTGGATCATTTTGTGATGCCGGTACCGGGCCGTGGCCCAAAAAAGGTTGGGGGCCACTAATGTACTGGGATGTCACAAACATGGTCTCTTGAAGGAGAAGACCTTCCTTCTGCAGATGATTGGAGAAGAGAAGGTCGAAGTGATGCCTAGAGCAAGGCACACAGATGCCCAGAAGCTGAGATGCCTACAACAACGCACACAAGCTGCATCTCCATCCTTTTGTCTAATGCAGGGGTCTTCAAACTTGAGAGCTTTAAGACTTGTGGACTTCAACTACCAGAATTCCTCCTCCCGTCATGTTAGCTCAGGAATTCTGGTAGTTTGAAGAGCCTTGGTCTAATGGCTTAGACCAAAAAGCTTTGGGCCCACATCAAGATGATGTTCGGCATTAAATGAATATGTTGGTTAGGTCCACCTATGATCCCCTCAGTTAGTCAGTCTAGCTGGAGGAACCCGGCACAAAGCCAGTATTTGCTATGAATGGGCCCAGTTCAGGGTGTCCTGAAAACATGAACAGCGCTCAGGAGGTGGTTGAACTAGGTCTGGCCTTGGTTGCAGAGCCTAGATATGACATCAGACTTATGGCTTTTGCTTTCTTCCAAGAGACGAGGACAAGAATGCTGTTTTCATTAGTTTACTGTTTCAGATGGAGAAAAGCAAAACTGTGTTCACATCTAGGGTGGCTTCAAGAATTAGGGTTGGCTTAAATATTCTATATCTTCCATGATTATGATCTCCTTACAAGCCCACTGTTTAAGTGCGTGGCAATTGTCATCCCTCCAGTTCAATATGCCAGCAGACGGGTCCATGAAAGCACAATCTCGCTCCACTTCTCCATTCTTCTTCAGGATAGTAGGACTACCAGCATCCCAGAACCTAGTGGGTGCAGGAGAAGGAAAGATTACTATAAGACCTCAAGGAAAAGGTTCCCCTCACACACATGTGCTAGTCATTCCCGGCTCTAGGGGGTGGTGCTTCTCTCCGTTACAAAGCCGAAGAGCCAGCACTGTTGAGAAGACATCTCTGTGGTCATGTGGCCGGCATGACTCAACGCCGAAGGCACATGGAATGCTGTTATCTTCCCACCAAAGGTGGTCCCTATTTTTCTACTTGCATTTTTTACATGCTTTTGAACTGCTAGGTTGGGCAGAAGCTGGGACCACTCCATTATGCGGCGCTAGGGATTCAAACTGCCGACCTTTCCGATCGATAAGCTCAGCCTCTTAGCCACTGAGCCACTGTGTCCCTATAACAATAAAGGAGCTAGATTGAACTCTTCACGTGTGGGTCTGGTTGTTCATGCCTGACACAGATTTAGTGATCAGGAAGCTGAAGGAGGGAGACAGTGGGTCGACAACTCACTGTAGTTTTAATCTGGATCCATCCGACCATTGCCAGGTGCCTTCCTCATTTTCACTGCTTAGTCCAATCCAGACAGAATCATTGAACTGCGAAGAGATGAACTTCTGCCAAAAAAGGAGAGGAGGAGTGGGTGTCAGAGGGTGGGAATGCCACAAAACACCTACAATTAACAATAAACTAATTGTGTTCCTTTCCCAAAGAAAGCCCATTCTAATTACTATTTATTAAGACTGTAGTACTATTCTTCTTCTTATCCTTCCTATTACCTGTCTCCTTTTCTACTTATGGCTATAATTTTGTTGCTTGTCTCTTTACGATTGATATTGTTTTACCTAGTTTCCTAGCATGATTTTGGTTGATTGCTTATTTAGTATCCTATGACCATCACTAAGTGTTGTATCTTATGATTCATGATGACTATGATCATGATTTATCACCTATATCTTTTATGTACACTAAGACAAATTCCTTGTGTGTCTGATCACACTTGGCCAATAAAGAATTCTATCCTATCCTATCCTATCCTATCCTAATCATCATCTATTTCTATTCTATACAGAGAAATTATTGAGTCTGTCATCTGCACCTCTATAACTGTCTGATTTGGTTCTGCAACCCAACAAGACAGACACAGACTTCAGAGGGTAATTAGGACTGCAGAAAAAACAATTACTACCAACCTGCCTTCCATCGAGGACCTGAATACTTCACGAGTCAAAAAGAGGGCTGTGAAAATATTTATAGACCCCTCACATCCTGGACATAAACTGTTTCAACTCCTACCCTCAAAATGACACTATAGAGCACTGCACATCAGAACAACTAGACACAAGGACAGTTTTTCCCCAAATGCCATCATTCTGCTAAACAAATAATTCCCTCAACACTGTCCAACTATTTACAAAGTCTGCACTACTATTAATCTTCTCATCACTCCTTATCACCCATCCCCTCCCACTTGTGACTGTATGACTGTAACTTTGTCACTTGTATCCTTACAATTTATATTGTATGATTTGATTGCTTATTGTACCCTATGACTATCATTAAGTGTTGTACCTGATGATTCTTGACTCTTGACAAATGTATCTTTTCTTTTATGTACACTGAGAGCACTTGCACCAAGACAAATTCCTTGTGTGGCCAATCATATTTGGCCAATAAAAGAATTCTATTCTATTCTGTTCTGTTCTGTTCTATTTTCTATATTCTATCCTATCCTATTCATCATCTATTTCTATTCTCTTCTATTCCATGGCTAGGAAAAGTTGACTTTTAATGGCATGCAGGTAAAACACTTTCCATTAAAATGTTGAAGGTAAGAACTTTGTAGCTATTTCTCCACCCAAGGAAGCAATTGCCTTCAAGCCTTGTGGATAACTTTGGACACAAGCTTTATGTTTAATTAACTCCCTGCTTTCTAGCAGTTAACATATAAGCATATAAGCATGAAGCATTCAGCAATGGAGGAGATTGTTGCTGGACATTGTTATGGTTCTTTATGGGTGGCATCGGTACACCCATAAATATTAATGAGAAGGAATCTGTTCTTATATATCTGGCAGGCACAAGCTGGACCTTTTGAAATCATATCTACTGAATGCCCTCTCTCCTTCTCTCTCTCTCTCTCTCCTTCTCTGTGAAAGAGATTGAGGCCAAGAATGAGAGAACATTACGTTGTAGAATACCTTATGCCACCAGACTTGAAATTCTAGAACTAGAAAACCTTGAATTACGCCGTCTTCAGTCCGATCTAAGTATGGTACATAAAATTATATATTGCAATGTCCTACCTGTCAATGAATACTTCAGCTTCAACCATAACAACACAAGAGCACACAATAGATACAAACTCAAGGTTAACCGCACCAAACTTGACTGCAGAAAATACGACTTCAGCAACAGAGTGGTCCATGTCTGGAATACTCTACCCGACTCTGTAGTTTCTTCACCAAACCCCCAAAACTTTAACCTTAGACTGTCTACTATTGACCTCACCCCTTTCCTAAGAGGTCTCTAGGGGGCGTGCATAAGCGCACCAACGTGCCTACCGTCCCGGTCCTATTGTTTCTTTTATTTTTCTTTTATTTTTCTTATATGTACCCATTTCATGTATTCATAACTATGTATACACTTATACTTATTATCTTGTAAACAATTGACAAATCAAATAAATAAATAAATAAATAAATAAACATAGTCCTTGTTTGGTATTTGCATTAGTATTTCTCCTGACAGCCAGCCTGACCGTAATTCTCCAGAGAGAGGAAGGGTTGAATCAAAAGGTCCTTGCAGAAGGTTTGCCCAGAGACATAAAAGAGCGGACATGAATGCAAAAAAAAAAAGGCCTCCGAGGGTTTAAGGACAGATGAAGCAGCTGCTTAAGGAACTCTAGAGGTTGGTCAGAAAAGGGGAAAGAAAATGAGTGAAACCTGTTCTTCGTCATTTAAGATGGAGACCATGTGGGAATCTCTGGAGAGGCAGAAGTTCTGAGCGTCGTACCAGGTCTTCCTACCGATCGAGATGTAGTAGAGGTTCTTCCCAAAAAGGGTCCAGTGAGTAGCGGCCTTCACCGTGCCTTTCTTATAGATGGATTCTAAGGAGAAATGGAGGTGGGAAAGCCTGGCTGACATCCACAGCTCCCCATCCATGTGTTAACCAGAGATCACAGAATAAGAGAGCTTGCAGGGACCTTGGAGGTCTTCCAGTCCAACCCCCTGCTCTTCAGCAGGGAGGGAGGAAGGCAGGGGATGTCTGTCTAGCTGACTGCCAGTTGTTTCCTTAACTCACTGATGCATGCCATCCAGAATCAATTTGGGTGGTAGGTGGGCTACGTAAATTAGATAGATAAATGATAGAGGATAAGATAGATAGAAAACAGGAAATAGAAAGCAGGAAATAGGATAGATAGATAGATAGATAGATAGATAGATAGATAGATAGATAGAT